GGCAGCAAATCTTTATCGCCTGCTGCCTCGGGGGCCCCCACATGTTTCCGGGGGCCCCCTTCGTTCTCCTTAGGGGCTCCTTTCGAGGGCCCTAGGGGGCCCCCTGCCCCCTTGGGGGGCCCCTTAGCAACTGGGAGAGGGTTCAGCTCTGACTGGGGGGCCCCAGGAGGGGCCTTTCGTTGCTCTCCATCGTCAGCAGCAGAGGCTTTTGCTGCTGCAGCTGCAGCAGTAGCAGCACTAACTTCTGCTGCCTTGCGTGCTGGCTGGGGAGGGGGGCCCCCTTTGGGGGGCCCTTGTGGGCCCCCTTTGGGGGGCCCTTGTGGGCCCCCTTTGGGGGGCCCTTGGGGGCCCCCGTCTTTCATTTCTGGGGGGCCCGAACTAGGTCCTCCCGGGGGGCCCCCTGGTAGCTTCTTTGGGGGGCCCTCTGACACCTTCTTTGGGGGCCCCTTCGACTCCTCTGCTGTGGGTATATCTGGGGAGTTTCTTGGGGGCCCCTTTGTTGATGGTACTTCTGGGGGCCCCTCTAATGACTTCTTTGGGGGCCCCTCTGATGACTTCTCTGGGGGCCCCTCTGATGACTTCTTTGGGGGCCCCTCTGATGACTTCTTTGGGGGCCCCCCTAGTGAACCCTTTGGGGGCCCCTCTGGTGTTTTCTTTGGGGGCCCCTCTGATGACTTCTCTGGGGGCCCCTCTGATGACTTCTCTGGGGGCCCCTCTGATGACTTCTTTGGGGGCCCCGCTGGCGGCTTACTCGGGGGCCCCCCTAGTGAACCCTTTGGGGGCCCCTCTGATGGCTTCGCTGCGGGCCCCTCTGATGAGTTCTTTGGGGGCCCCTCTGATGACTTCTTTGGGGGCCCCTCTGGTGGTTTCTTTGGGGGCCCCTCGGACTTCATTTTTGTGGTTTGCTTGGGTAGGGTTGTCGGGGGCCCCTCTGGTGTTTTCTTTGGGGGCCCTTCTGCGGGTTTGGGCCCCTCGAGGGCCTTCTTTGGGGGCCCCTCAGGTGTCTCCTTTGGGGGCCCCTCAAGTGTCTCCTTTGGGGGCCCCTCAAGTGCCTTCTTTGGGGGCCCCTCTGGCTGCTTTGTTTGGTCTGTCTCTGCTGACTTCGCTGGGGGCCCCCCCAAGCGTTTGGGGGGGGGCCCTTCAGGGGGCTTCTTTGGGGGCCCTTGGCTTTGCTTTGCTGCTACACCTTCGGGGGGTTTAGGGGGGGGCCCCCCTGAGGGTTTCCCCGTCACCCCCGCTGGAGGAATCTTGGGGGGCCCCGCCAGTCCCTTTGCTGGGGGCCCCTCGGGTACCCTCTTGGGGGGCCCCTGGGGCCCCTCCATGGGCTTGTTCGGAGGGGGGCCCACTGAACCCCCCACGGGAACCGCTGCAGGGCTCTCTGAAGCATTTGCTGGGGGCCCCCCGGGGGGCCCCTCGGAGCCCTTTGGGGGGCCCCCTGTTCTAATATTTTCTGGGGGCCCTTCTGGGTGTTCTGTTGGGGGCCTCTTTGGGGGCCCCTGTGGCGGTTCTCCTGGGGGTTTATCTGAGGGGGGCCCCTTGCTGTAACCTGGGGGGCCCCCCTTCGGTGGCCCCTGGGGTACTGCGCAGCTGCTACCTGTGTCGGGGGCCCCCTGATGCTTGAGTTGCTGCGGTGTCTGTGTTGAGGGAGCCGCTACAGGGGGCTTGGGGGGCCCCGGGGGCCCCTCGGGGGGCCCCCCGGGGGGCCTTGGGGGGGCCCCTTTGCCGCTCTTTCCAGCCTCAGTGGGTCCTTTCGAGGCCGCAGAGTCTGCTGCAAACATCAGCACAAACAGCTGCACAAGCAGAAATACTGCTGCTGCTGATACTGTTGCTGCTGCTGCAGCGATGACTGTTCGTGTTGCTGCTGTTGCTGCTGCTGTTGCTGTTGTTGCTGCTGTTATGCTCTACAACAACAGCATCAGCAGCAGCAGTAGCATCACCATCAACAGTGGCAGCAGCAGCATCAGCAACAGCATCAGCAGCAGCAACAGCATCAGCAGCAGCAGCAGCAGCAGCAGCGTGGGGCTTTGGGGCGAAGCAAAGCTCTTACACGTTGGCATCTTTGGGGGCCCCCCTTCCCCACAGTGTGTACTGGTGGGGGCCCCTTCCGCTGCTGCTGCGGGCCCCCCTTTTGCTGCTGCAGCTGCCACTCCCTTCTTGTCTCTGTCGCTGTTGAGCTTGCTGCGGTGTACATACACCACAGCCTTCGCCAGAGCCGCGTCAGCTGACTGGAGGGCCCTTTGGAGACTGTCTCTTCGTCTCCTCGTGCTGCCGGGGCTGTCTCCTCCTGGAGGAGACCCCAGAGGAGACCTGCTGCTGCTGCCGCTGCTGCTGCTGCTGCTGCTGCTGCTGCTGCTGTTGTTGCTGCTGCTCAGACGGCGGTTTAAAAGGGCCTGCTGCAGTGCAGCAGCACGCTCCTCCGCCTGCTGAAGCAGCTGCTGCAGCATGAGTGTCTCCTTTTGTCTCTCTTTCTCTTGCAGCTCAACCTGCAGCTCAGCAGCAGCACAACGAATCCTCAATGCTTCTGCTTCTTCGCGCAGGGATTCATGCTCTTGCTGCTGTTGCTGCTGCTGCTGCTGTTGCTGCTGCTGCTGCTGCTGCTGCTGCTGCTGCAGGCCCTCCAGCTCCTGCACCCGCATCCCCGTCTTCTTAACGAGGGCCTCTAGGGCCTGCGAGTGCTCCCTGAGGGCAGCTAGCTGGGCTTGTGACTCAGCTAGCTGTTTCAGCACTTGCTGCTGCTGCTGCTGTTGCTGCTGCTTCCCCTCTAGAGTTGATAGAACCGCCTGAAGTGTCTCCGCTCGCCCCTGTGCCTCAGCGAGCTGTCTCTCTGCTGCTGCTCTTCTCTGTCTCTCTTCTTGTGTCTCCTGTATCAGCTGGGCTTCTCTTGCTGCAGCAGCAGAAAGGGCTTGCTCCTGCTGCTGCTGCTGCTCTGCTGCTGCTGCTGCTGCTGCAGCTTCTGCTGCTGCCAGCTCCGCCTCAAGCCGCCGTCTGTCCCCTTCCAGGGCCTCCAGTCGCTGCTGGGCCTGAAGGAGACACCAAAAGGAGACACAAAGAAAAAGGAGACACAAAGAAAAAGGAGAAACTAAAAGGAGACACCAAAAGGAGACACAAAGAAAAAGGAGACAGACGGAAAAAGGAGACAGTAGAATAGGAGGAGGCGGCAGCAGCAGGAGACAGCCGCAGGAGACAGCACAAGGAGACGGCAAAAGGGGAAAGCAAAAGGAGACAGCAGCCAGAGACAGCAGAAGGAGACAACAAAAGGAGACAACAGAAGGAGACAACAAAAGGAGACAGAAGAAGGAGACAGCAGGAGGAGACAGCAGGAGGAGACAGCAGGAGGAGACAGCAGGAGGAGACAGGGGTTGTTAGAGGGGACGCACAGCTTCTGCTTCTTCTTGGTAGCTAAGGCATGCAGCAGCAGCAAGCTGGAGAGCTCTGCTGCTGCTGCTGCTGCTGCTGCTGCTGCTCTTGCTGCTTCTCTCCTGTAGCAGGGCCCTCAGCAGCTTCGCCTTCTCCCCCGCCAGTCTCTTCTGGGCTCGGATAGATTCGTTCAGCTGAGACACAAACAGCTAGCTCGACATATACAATATTATCTAGCTAGCTAGCTAGCTAGCTAGCAGGCTAGCTGGCTAGCTAGGTAGCGAGCTAACAGGGGAGCTACCTGAATAGTCCGTTGGTTACTAGGGGCAGCTAGCTAGCTAGCTAGCTAGCTAGCTAGCTAGCTAGATTACGAGACAAGTAACTGTCTGGCTAGCTGGATAGCTAGCTGGCTAGCTAGCTGTGCAGCTGGCCGGGCAGCTGGCTAGCTAGCTGTACAGCCGCGGGTTCATACACGCAAAACACGAAGCAGCGGGCTTGCTGCAGCAGCTGCAGCAGCAGCAGCTGCAGCAGCAGCAGCAGCAGCAGCTGCAGCAGCAGCAGCAGCAGCAGCTGCAGCAGCAACAGCTGCAGCAACAACAGCACCTTTAAGGCTGCATCACCGCTGAAGAGCAAAGCGACGCTGATGAGGGCCCCAAACCCTAAACCCTAGACCCTAAACCCTAAACCCTAGACCCTAAACCCTAAACCCTAGACCCTAAACCCTAAACCCTAAACCCTAGAGATACCTTT